CAGTCGGTTCCCGCGCGTTCTGAGGCTCCGCAGACTCCCACCCGCACGACCTCGCAGCATGTCGGTAAAGAAGATTGCCATCTTCGGCGCCACCGGCAGGACCGGGCTCACCACGCTGGCGCAGGCGGTGCAAGCAGGCATGAGCTGGGGCGGGCGCGTGGGCGATGTCACGGGTGCACGGGCAGAGCGCTAGGAAGGGACATCGTAGGTCTGGCCGAGGTTGGGGCGGGCCATCAGTGCCTTGGTGTGTGAGGACCCAGAGGGCACCGTGTTAGAAGTGGGGGACGCTATGAGATCCAGTTTTATGCGTTCAAGGAGTAGGAATGGGCCCTGGGAGGCTGGGGGACTCGTGACAAGTTTGAATACAGGCGCTTCTGACATGTGCTGTTACGGTGGTGGTGGTGGTGGTGAGCACACCCAGGGAGGGCTTACTAAGCCTGGCAACGCTTGCCTCCCACACCTCCCTCTCTTCACACGTGTGAAATCCTCACAGCACTAAATGTGGGGTGGGATCTAGTATCACCTTACCTCACAGATTAGAAAGCTGAGGCCAGGAGAGTGACTTGCCCAATGTCATACAGCTGGAAAGTGACAGTGCTGGGATTTGAACCCAGCCCATGCTCATAACCACCAAAAGCCACTGGTTCTTGGCTTGGACACCAAGACTGGAGGTTGGAAAGTCTGGGGGGTGGGGGTGGGTTGCTGAGACCATCTAGTGGAGAGAGGGTCACAGAAACATGGGTGAAGACTTGGGGACCCCAAAAAGTCAGTGAGGCTGAATATTCAGAGTTGCCCCAGGAAAGGGCATAGTTGGGCAGCCTTCTGCTCCCACTGTCCAGACTTCACCAACACCCAGCTAGGCCTGAGACTTCCAGATATAGAGCCCCACCCTTGCAGGTCTTGGTGACTCTGAAGATATTGACTATCTGGGTGTCCCAAAAGGGTGGAGGCCACCAGGAATCCATTCTCTGCTGTCTCCTAGTCCAGCCCTCCCTTGGAGGCACTCTGCCTGAAGAATCCCCACTTGGCCCACTGCTCTCCCCCCTAGTTTGGATCTTGACTTGTGGGAGGGGAGAGACAAATTTGCTGATAAACAATTGTGGAGGAGGAAGTAAGAGGAGAAGTAAAGAAGTGCTGAGTCAATAGGGAAAAATAATTAAA